GCATGAATGCAGGTAAGATGCAGCTTGGTAACTAAGGAACTCCTTTGAACAGAGTCCTTCTTCAAAAACTGATAGTTAGTCAAGATTTAAACGTGGTCAGGGGTGTAAAATTGTACCACTCACATACAGGAGTATCGTGCAAAGTGTGAATAAGTAGGAGGACTTTTGCGACAATTTTGGTTTTAAGAATACGATTTGCTTTTTAATTTATTCGAATTATGATTTAACAATAACCAGCGAACAATTGCGTTCTGCGAGAGGAAATGCATCTGAATCAGCAATAAATGAGAATTGGAGAGCATGTACTTTTTTTCGTTTCAGATCCTGTTTTAGTGTGGCAGTTCTGCGAGGTGCAGTGTACGCCATGGGCGGTGAAGATTCGAATTTGTATCACAACACGGTTGAAAGATACGACTGCAAGAAGAACGAGTGGTCGAGGATCGCTCCCATGAACGAAAAGCGACTCGATGCGAGTGCGGCTGTGCTGAATGGTACGTAAAAGCTGTGAAATAGTAATGTATGAATTAGTTCAGAAGGCGAGGTGTCTGTCCGTGAATAACAACGCAAGAACGGTTAAAGGAATCGCAGGATATGAGGTTCTTACGCCGGCGAGTACGAAGATGGCCGTCGGTTGGCTTTTGCCGACGTTTCAGACGACCTTTATGCATTCATTATCATGGCGTTTCTCTTCGCTCTTGAACTTAGTTTCCCTCACTCCATTCGCCCGTATTATTTCATTATCTCGTTCTTTTATCTGTCCTACGTACTCCGTTATTTCACAGACTGCAACGGCTTGAAGTTCTGAGTGCGTGATGGTTTCTTCTGCTCTTGTAAGCTGTCCCTGTGCATCCTCTTCTGAATTTGTAGTGTACACTAGGAGTGAATGCAAACAACCATCAAACTATCAAATTGGCTCTCATATAATACAGATTAATATGTTTTTTAGACAATGAGTAATCTCATGTAAATAGCACATTATATTATAAATGTAGAGCATGGCTTGGCAGCTCATACCGTACATCTCTGACACCAAATTTAATAAAATTCGTTTCACAGAAGATGTAACTTACCATCATTTCCATTATGCATTAATTTAAGAACTTTATGGTGTTTATATTAAATTTCATCAGTTAAACTCGTGTCCTTTGAAACGCTGATTGTCTGCATTCGAAACAAAGAAACAGATGAACAGGGACAGCCGTGTCTGTGCAGTTTCTGTGACACGAAGGGGGACATTAATAGATTTACAAATTTAAGTACGGATTGTCCCATGTTTGTGCTCTGCATGACCCGGTATAATGCTTCTGCGTACACCAAATATGTGTGCAGTTCGTGTCATTTAGCTAATTTATTTTTACAGACAAAATATACGTCGCTGGTGGATGCAGTCGTGGTAATATCCTAAACTCTGTGGAAGTTTATGACCCGGACACCAACC